TCATTTCGTTATGTACCCAGTAGTCATTCAGGAGCAGGTTGTTCAGTTTCCATGTAGTTGAGTGGTTTTGTGTGAGTTTCTTAATCCTGAGTTCTGATTTGATTGCACTGTGGTCTGAGGGACAGTTTGTTGTGATTTCTGTTCTAAGTCTCTAAGGACTTGCGTTATGAATCTGGGTTCTCTTGTATTGGGTGCATATATATTTAGGATAGTCAGCTCTTCTTATTGAATTGATCCCTTTACCATTATGTAATGGCCTTCTTTGTCTCTTCTGATCTTTGTTGATTTAAAGTCTGTTTAATCAGAGACTAGGATTGCAACCCCTCCTTTTTTTTTTCTTTCCATTTGCTTGGTAGATCTTCCTCCATCCCTTTATTTTGAGTCTGTGTGCGTCTTTGCATGTGAGATCGGTTTCCTGAATACAGCATACTGATGAGTCTTGACGCTATCCAATTTGCCAGTCTGTGTCTTTTAATTGGGGGCATTTAGTCCATTTACATTTAAGGTTAATATTGTTATGTGTGAATTTGATCCTGTCATTATGATGTTAGCTGGTTATTTTGCCCATTAATTGATGCCCTTTCTTCCTAGCATCAATGGTTTTTACAATTTGGCATGTTTTTGCAGTGGCTGGTACTGGTTGTTGCTTTCCATGTTTAGTGCTTCCTTCAGGAGCTCTTGTGAAGCAGGCCTGGTGGTGACAAAAATCTCTCAGCATTTGCTTGTCTGTAAAGGATTTTATTTCTCCTTCACTTATGAAACTTAGTTTGGCTGGATATGAAATTCTGGGTTGAAAATTCTTTTCTTTAAGAATGTTGAATATTGGCCCCCACTCTCTTCTGGCTTGTAGAGTTTCTGCCAAGAGATCCACTGTTAGTCTGATGGGCTTCCCTTTGTGGGTAACTCGACCTTCCTTTCTGGTTGCCAACCTTTGTGAATCTGACAATTATGTGTCTTGGGGTTGCTCTTCTCGAGGAGTATCTTTGTGATGTTCTCTGTATTTCCTGAATTTGAATGTTGGCCTCCCTTGCTAGGTTGGGGAAGTTCTCCTGGATAATATCCTGAAGAGTGTTTTCCAACTTGGTTCCATTCTTCCCATCACTTTCAGGTACACCAATCAAACGTATATTTGGTCTTTTCACAGACTCGCATATTTCTTGGAGGCTTTGTTCATTTCTTTTTACTCTTTTTTCTCTCACCTTGTATTCTCACTTTATTTCATTCATTTGATCTTCAATCACTGATACCCTTTCTTCCACTTGATCAAATTGGCTATTGAAGCTTGGGCATGCATCACAAAGTTCTGGTGCCATGGTTTTCAGCTCCATCAGGTCATTTAAGGTCTTCTCTATGCTGTTTATTTTAATTAGCCATTCATAATCTTTTTTCAAGGTTTTTAGCTTCCTTGCGATGGGTTCGAACATCTTCCTTTAGCTTGGAGAAGTTTGTTATTACCAACCTTCTGAAGCCTGCTTCTGTCAACTCGTCAAAGTCATTCTCCATCCAGCTCTGTTCCATTGTTGGCAAGGAACTGCAATCCTTTGGAGGAGAAGAGGCGCTCTGATTTTTACAATTTTCAGCTTTTCTGCTCTGGTTTCTCCCCATCTTTGTTGTTTTATCTACCTTTGGTCTTTGATGTTGGTGACCTATAGATAGGGTTTTGGTGTGGATGACCTTTTTGTTGATGCTGATGCTATTCCTTTCTGTTTGTTTTCCTTCTAACAGTCAGGTCCCTCAGCTGCAGGTCTGTTGGAGTTTGCTGGAGGTCCACTTCAGACCCTGTTTACCTGGGTATCACCAGCAGCGGCTGCAGGACAGCAAATATTGCTGCCTGATCCTTCCTCTGGAAGCTTCGTCCCAGAGGGGCAGCCACCTATATGAGGTGTCTTTCAACCCCTACTGGAAGATGTCTCCCAGTTAGGCTACACGGGGGTCAGGGACCCACTTGAAGAGGCAGTCTGTGTGTTCTCAGAGCTCAAACGCAGTGCTGGGAGAGCAACTGCTCTCTTCAGAGCTGTCAGAGACATTTAAGTCTGCAGAAGTTGTCTGCTGCCTTTTGTTCAGCTATGCCCTGCCCACAGAGGTGGAATCTAGAGACAGTAGGCCTTGTTGAGCTGTGGTGGGCTCCGCCCAGTTCAAGCTCCCCAGCCGCTTTACCTACTCAAGCCTCAGCAATGGCGGACACCCCTCCTCCAGCCAGGCTGCCGCCTCACAAGTTCCATGTCAGACTGTTGCGCTAGCAGTGAGCAAGGCTCCGTGGGAGTGGGACCTGCTGAGCAAGGCGCAGGAGAGAATCTCCTTGTCTGCTGGTTGCTAAGACCTTGGGAAAAGCACAGTATTTGGGTGGGAGTGTCCCGTTTTTCCAGGTAGTCTGTCATGGCTTCCCTTGGCTAGGAAAGGGAAATCCCCTGACCCTTTGCGCTTCCTGGGTAAGGCAACACCCTGCCCTCCTTCACTTCACCCTCTGTGGGCTGTACCCACTGTCCAACCAGTCCCAATGAGATGAACCAGGTACCTCAGTTGGAAATGCAGAAATCACCCATCATCATCTGCATCAGTCACACTGAGAGCTGCAGACCAGAGCTGTTCCTTTTTGGCCATCTTGGAATGCTTAAAATTTTTTTATACCACTATGCTTTTACTGTTTCCCCAATTAAAACTTTTGTATCACAATTAGCCCATAAGTGAGGGTTTCTAATGTAAATGCTTTTGTCCATTTAATACAAAGGAACAAAATTAAGTTCTCTTATTTATTCTGGTTTACTACAGGATACTCAAACCAAAAGTATTATTTCAGAGACCAGTAATAAAATTGACGCTGAAATTGCTTCCTTGAAAACACTGATGGAGTCTAACAAACTTGAGACAATTCGTTATCTTGCAGGTAAGACTGTCAGAGAAAGAAATTGCCGCCATCTCATTTTCCTGTTAGTTCCTACCTACCAAGGTAACTGAGCAGGCACAGGAGAAAAAGGAGGAGCTATAAAACACGGCTCCTTTATTGCTTGGTGCCCTGTAGTGCTTAAAGAAGGTTCTAGTCTCAGGATATTTTTTGGATTATTGGGTTTTTTTTTTTTAATACTTCTAATTTTTATTATAGCAGATTCCAAATTAGACACAGCCAAAGGAAGGAACATATAGGATGTAGTATGTGACAGTTCTAAATGTTAAGCTGCTTTCGTCCTCACAGATGTGTTACCCTTCAGAATATAAGTTTAGCAGGCAATTCTGCAGCTTACTAATAGAAAAAGCATGTGGATATAAAAGAAATTATAAACACAAGCACAAAAATGATAGAAGGATAAACTCTGTATTCTACAGTGAAAAAACAAAATGAAAATTTTCTTTGTATTGCTTATGTTCTTCCATAAAGATTTGAATGAGGTTAGAGAAAAAAGATCAAAAAAGTAGATATAAGCCCATTAAAAACCTGGAGGAGGGGGAGATGACCTTACCTTAAATCAACTGATTCAGCACAGATACTACCCCAAAATTAGATTATTTGTCACATACTGAGCTCCTCAAGTACCATTTGACCTGACCCAATTACAGGGCCCAGCCCAGTGATTTAGAAAGAATGCCCTAGTCAACTATTACTTGTCTTTTTTCTTTCCTTTTATAAAAAGTAATGTATTTTCATTATAAACTATTCACAGAATTCAAAAGCAGTAAAAGTGAAAGCACCTCCCTATGTATATTTACTATTAGTAGTAAACATTTTCTAGTCTTTTTCTTCTATATATAAACATCTTATATACTTTATAAAAATAATTAGATCACGTATTTTTTATAGTCTACAACTTTTAAAAATTTGACCAAATGTCCTATTTCTTTCCACATCAATACACACAGACATCTTTTTATTAGAAAGCACAGTATTCCCTATATGAAAATGCCACAATTTATATATCCAGTCCTCTATTAACAGGCATTCTCCCTCCAGTTTTTCATTATTAAGGACAATACTGTATTGAACAGCCATATATATGTGTTACGTTTGAGTAAATATACATACACACACACATATCTTTGTACCCCCATGCTAGTATTTCTATAACAACTTGCTATGTACATTTAAATTTTGGGGTCAAAAAGATATGCACATTTAAAATGTTTGATATTAACAAATTGCTGTCTAAAAGAAAACTGCTGGTTTATACTCTTAGTCATTTTCTGGGCAGTCACCACTGATGTTGAGGTGCCAGCAGGGTTGAAGATGGAGCCCCCAGCCATCAGCTGAACCATGGAAGGGGCACAAGTAAAATAGCCTACCTACAAGCATAATTGGAATCAGAACTTACTGTTTACATCTGTGAATGTGTGCCTCAATTTCTCATACCAGCGTTCTCCATAAGTTGGAAACATTAGCACCTAGACTCTTTTATCATTCCACTTTAACTAATCAGGAGAGATTGCCCTCTTTGCTTAGTTCCAATTTGTGAAATCCTCAGAAAGAAGTCTGAATGGTTCATCCTGGGTCAGACACCACCTTTTGATCCAGAACACTGCCACCAAGGAATAATAGCAATTTCCATTTAATCTATGTAGATAATGTGGCAGATTTTGCTCTTGGCAGATAAATAATGAAAGCTAATGTTTACAGAGTGCTTAAAATGTACCAGGCACATGCTCACCTAAGCATTTTACATATATGTAGAATGTCTCCCTAGACAGGGTATAGAGGATAAACAGCAAACTTAAATAATTTGGAGATGGCTCCATAATTACTACAACAACAGCCATGAGAAATAAAAGCTGAAATAACAGCAGTAAGACATGAGAGAGAAACTTAAATGCAGTAACGATTGTATACTCTACTGAAGGAACAAAATACCTCCCACCTCACAATAAGTAAGTGTTCATTTGGTTATCTAAAACTTAATTTATCAGCTGTTGAATCAGCAAGGATGTAACCACTTAGATAGCACTATGTGACTCAAATAAATGACAGATTGAGTTTTTCAGGTGTCACAGTATGTAATAAGGATAACAAATTTTTTGTGTGTTTTTTTATTAAAAGAAAAAAAAAACGGCGTTGGAGTCAAGTACACTTAGTCTTTTTTTTTTTTTTTTTTTTTT